ATGAAGTATAGGTTGCGGCGTGACACCAATGTTTCTCAAAATTTATTGAGAGGTTTAATGGAGAAGTATAGAGAGAATAAGGAGGATCTATATATAATTTTTATTGATTAGAGAAAGCATATGATAAAGTTCCAAGAGAAGTGCTATGGAGAGTTCTAAATAAGAAATGGATTAATAATGCTTATATTCAAGTCATTAAGGATATGTATGCAGGAGCTATTACTTGTGTTCAAACACAAGGTGATGCGGACATCAGCAGCGATTTCGACACATTTACCTTCAGGAGATGCCGGAGATCGACGGCCATGATCATGATTTGTATTTTCATCATTTTATGTAGTAGTTTATTTTTATTTTATGTTTTTCCGTTTTTACCCTTATGGGTATTTGGTAGCTATTGTAGCCCAAGGGGCATTTTAGTACTTTACTTTCTTTGTCATTTTGAGGCCTATTTATATGGCCCTATTCTCTTGTAAGAGTTAGTTTTTTGATGAAATGAAAAAATTACTTTGTGTTCTCTTTGTGAGTGCCTCCACCCTCCTCGATCTCTTAGTGAGTTCGTAGGAGAAGCTAGATCTCTTTGTGAGTTCTAGATCTTCTTGTTCTACCATTTTTCTTCCTTTATTTCTTGTGATCGATTCGTCGTTGTGGAGATCCGGTTGAAGCCTTTGTGAGAAATTGGAATTCATTCCTTGATTCCTTGGAAATTTCCCTATTTTCCTCCCCTTGGTCTTGCCGCCGCCTACCCCTCCCCACCGGCGGCAGCATACCCTCCACCACCGGCCTCCCTTGGCCGGCCCAGTTACCCACGGCCCTCCCAGCCATCAAGCCGGCAGCATTCCTTCCACCGTTTCCATAGCCTTCCCCACGCTAGTCTGCCGACCACCTTGCTCCCAGAAATTGAAATCCAATTTCAAAACGCCTCAAATACCTTCCTAAGTTGCATCCTGATTACTTTGGAAAGTGCATGTTTTAATTTATTCTTTTACCTGTTGACATGCAACGGATCCAAAGGCTCAAGGCCAATTCTGGAAACTTTCTTAGCAAAGCAAATCTGAAAATCAAATTTCAGATTTACTTCCACCGTGAGTTAATGCCTAGCGGGCCCACCTAATTAACACTAATGGCTCTCTCTCAACTATTCATGGCCGGTCCCCTAATTAGCTCTTCTCTCTCTCTCCAATTATAATAAATTTCCCCATTAAAATCCCTTACCCATCACATAACTGCTGCCACGCCTCCTTTGGAATTGTTTTGAATTTTTTCTCAATTTCCCCTCTCCACGTCTCCCCATTATTTCAATATCAGAAAACTGAAATTATTGGTTTCCTGAAGCTTTTCTCTTCTACTGAGCTTCCCTTTGATCTTAAAATCGTCTTTCTCTACTCAAACTAGTCAAGTGCCCCAACCCATCCCACCATCCTCCTCCAACCCGCCACCTTCCTCTCCTCCCCATTTATTTGTGTCCCTTCTCTTCCGGCAAGATGCATGGCGGACCCCGAGATTGACAGTGGGTTAGTGCTCGACGTCTACGAAAGTATACATATAACTCGCTCGCCGTTCTTTTACGTCGGGTTTGGACCCGACGACACCGTCGAAGACTATTTGAACCGCATCCTCCCTACGCTCGTGGATGTCGTAGATGAGCAATTTGAAGACTACAATTGGACCATCCGCGAACACCCACCGGCTTCTCCAACTCCGGCTTCCTTCCCGGCGACGAGTCCTCTCAAGATGACTTGCCTATTAGTGGCATCACTAAGTCTACTTACAATTCTCTTCCGCTAGCCACCACTTTCAAAACAAGTGACGGATCTCAAGGTGAATGGTCTAAATTTTAAACGTGTAGCTTTAGTAGTAGCTATTTTCATTATTTAGTTTTCTTTTGGTTATCTTTTGCAAGACTCTTGTAATCCTCAAGTGTAATCGATGCCTAGAGCTTAATCAATCACGAATTTTCTTGAATCCTACTTGAGCAAGTTAGATTTTATTGTTAGTATTGCAAAGTTAAAAGCTTTCATTAATCTCTAAAGTGCAATTCATGTTTCCCCATGTATGTATCACATCATATTTACTTAATGCTAGTTGGGTTAAATGAGAGAGGTATAGGAGTGATAGGAGATGGTGCGGGTGAGTGGGTGCACGATGAATGAAAAGTGGAAAAAGATTTTTTTTGGAAGGAGAACTTGTTTTAATTTTTTTGTATTTTTTCAAATGACAATTGGATAAGAGATGGGATAGACAGAACATTGCATAGTACTTTCATTACATGAGTCGAGAAATCATTACGTTCTATTTGATTAAAGGTGGAGAAGATATGAAGGTCAATATAATCATGTCAACAAAATATAAATGTTTAATTATTATTAACCTATGCATGAAATCCATAAGTTAATTGGATCAAACCACGATTAAAAAGGCATTCGAGGTAGACGCCTCGAGGCGCGCCTCGAATCGAGGCGGAGGTCAGGCGAACTAAGGCTTAAGCCTGAAACGTCCGGGCGAGGCTTACGCCTTTTTCCACAGAGGCGTACGCCTCAATACCTGAGGCGCCGAGGTGCATCGAGGCATCGCCTCGAAAGGGAGAAAGTTACCTTCAAAGCCAACGAACAGGAAGGGAAAGTCGTCGAAGGAGCGCAGTCGAACAGCCACAAAGAAGCCAAAGAAGCGACGCGTGTAATCTCTACACCTCCTATGAAGCAACGAAGCCGAACAACAAGGACGAAAGGCAAACCCTAGACGCAGCTAAGTTATTATTGATTAAATTAATTAATATAAGTTAAATATTAATAATTAAGCAAATTAATTAAGTACTTAATAGTATAATTAGTGCATAAATTAATTGACTAATTAGTAATATAATTATTAATTAAATATTAATATAATTAGCCTAGTTAATATAAATTAAAATATATATTATTAAATATATAATTAATAGTATTAATAATAATTATTGAGTAGCTTGTACTGCTTAGTACATGCTCGGTACCGAGCCAGTACCGCTCGGTACAGAGCAAGTATATGCTCGGTACTGAGCGGTACATGCTCGGTACCACTAGGTACACGCTCGGTACCAAGCTAGTACCACTAGGTACATGCTCAATATTGCTCAGTACATGCTCGGTACCGAGCCAGTACCGCACAATTTCGAGCCAGTACCGCTCAATTCCGAGCCAGTACCACTCAGTACCGGCGGTATATGTTCGGTACTGAGGCTTACGCCTTGATCCGCCTCGAGGCTTATGCCTCGCCTCGCTTAGCCAAAACGCCTCGATTCCCGATTTCGCCTTTTAAAACATTGGGATCAAACAAAATGATAGAAAAAATAGACATATTTTGATGAAAGACCAACTCAAGTCCATTCAATTGTAGTCCAATTTGCAAAGTGCATTGTGATTACAAGTCTAGAATGCCCAAAGGGACCAGGGAGGCCCTTGTATTACCCATGCTGTTGCATATGAGGAAAAAAATAACATGCATAAGAGGCGAAAAATTCACCGAAGATAGCTCACACAAGTACTCATTAAAGTAAAACTAATTAATGCTAGCCCCTTGTATTACCCAAGCCCTTGTAAAAATAGAGCAATTTTTTGCTTTATTTTTTAAAAATTAGGGTGCTTAATTGCACCTCCATATGCTTGTATGGGGTGTCACAAGGTGGTGACACTTGTTAGTAAAAAAAAAAAAAGTTTATAAAGACTCACTTTACATACTTCATATTTTTTAATTCCACCTCTTTCCCAACCATTCGCTTGCACAACTTCGCCCTAAACTTATCTCATCCTCTTTCTTAACACCCAAGAGCTTGCATAAATATCGTATGCAATTTCTTTGATTTTTCTTTGATGTGCACCTTTCTTGATGTGATGGGAGAACCCCATGTACACCCTTGGCATGATAAAAAATATATTGTCCTAATTTGTTCTTTTCTTATGAATGGAACTTCATAATGCTCATGAATGCCTTTCTTGGCATGATGGACTTGAAAGCATCTCATCTGCATGCTTCTTTCACTACCCACACACATCCACATCTTGACGACGTTTCTGACAAAATATCGATCATGATGTTTTGTACAACAAGTATGTTTGTCTTTCTTGACATGGTGGGCAGATCCATCACATTTCTCGGTACCCCTACATGTGAATTTAACCTATAACTACTTTAATATGATAAAGCATGGCAGGAATTTTCAGAGCTCACAATTATGATAAAAGTTTAATAGCATGCATATTAGCTCTCTAGGTAATTCATGTTATGCTACTAGCTTTTAAATGATGATAGTTGGGGAGGGTGCATTGGCCACTGTATTTCTTGTGGCATCATAAGCATTTATTAGCATGCATAAACTGTGGAAATGCATTCTTTAAAGATCATGAGTTTATACTATTGTATTGTTTGTGTCTATAGGTCTCAACTCTAACATAATTGTTCCATAAATCAGTTGCAAGGGGTGATGTTTATTTAGCTTTTGGTACCTTTAATTGTTTGTTAGTAATAGTGCCTTGCCTTGCCATACGATTGTTGCAGGTTAAAGAATGCATTGATAAATGCTGCCAAAGTATTTCTTTTGAGTTTTTGATCCAATATCAGGCACAACTAAAAGCTTATTTGTGGTTTGATTACATGTATTGTGGAACTTAACTAAAAGCTTATTTGTGGTTCGATTAACATGTCTTGTGGGACTTAAACTAAAAGCTTATTCGTGGTTTGATTACATGTTTTGTGGGACTTTGATATTAGGTCGTGGAGGTTTTGGCCATGTTGTACTGTGCAAAAACAAACTTGATGGACGACATTATGCTGTTAAAAAGATTCGACTCAAGGATAGAAATCCACATGTGAATGAGAAAATTTTAAGGTATATTCAACTGGATTTTACTATTTTTCATTTGTGTTTCATCTTAAATAACAAAAGGATTTCATTCTTCTTTTCTGTAAAACATGCTTGCTTCGGTTCTGTTGTGTTGGAGGCACAACATATTCCATTTTTTAAATATTGCGTTCTAATTTTCAATTTGCATTTACCTCTTGGGTCTATAAATAAGTGCTAACATGTAAATATGTATGGAGTATAAGAGTGTTTTTTTTGTTGTCCTTACTCTTTTGCTCTTTCCTTTGTTATTAGCTTAATGTTGTTTTTATAATTTTTAAAGTTGATTTGTCATCAGCTCTTATAAACATAAATTAATTGTATCCTTGTCTATCAATTGCGTTCCCTTTCTCTTGCATCACTCTGTCTTGCTTGATTGGCTTTTGTTTGTTTCTGCTATTTTTGTGGTTGATTTCTTCTTCCCATGCATTGTCACTTCAACTTTGATGGCTGGGCCTGGGCGTCTTCAGTTTCAAGGCTTGAGGCTGAGTTCCAGCAACACTCCTATCCAAACTTTAGGCAACTGACGAATGAGATTTCCTTGGGCTGATTTAGTCCGTGAATTTTATGGAGTTCTGTTTGTTTTTTGATATCATAATCTGGACTTAGGTTTGTACAAAACACAATCAGTTTAGTTTTGAGTAGAATTATAATGGAATGTGCCATTCAAACCTTTTGGGGTCTTCTTCTTGATCAAATGAGAGACTTGAAGATTTTTGGGAGATGCTATCCATTCGTACAAATGTTTTTTTTTTATTCTTCTGATTTTCAGGACTTATTTCTTCTAATTTTTTTTTCTTTCTTTAAATCCTAATATGGAATTGGGTGCATAATTGATTTTATATCAAGTTTGATACAATCTGGATTTCTATGAGTGCATGATTTTCAAGTAGCTGTCTTTTGATTACAAACTCCTATATGCTGTTTTTCTATAAAACTATTGAATTTTTTAATATTTTTGGCTTCATTGAAAGTACCAAATAGCTGCTAAAATTGAATGTTTGTGCCATGCAAGTTTTTGTATTTGTCTTATATGATTTTCTGCATTACATAACAGATCCGCATCACCAACCCTAGATCCTATGAAGTCCTATATCACAGATTTCCTTGACACTGCAATTGGTTTAATACCTATGTGCCATTTAGCTTCTGTTGTGATACTTTTACTAGATTTTCACAAGCATCTGAATATGCACTAATTTTCAAAATTTTGAAGAGATTTTCTGCTATTTATCAATTTTTATGATTTGAACTATCATAACAAGGTTTTCAGGGAGGTTGCCACATTGTCACTTTTGCAGCATCAACATGTTGTTCGGTACTATCAGGTTAGTGCCTAAGTGCATAACTCTGTAAATGTTCATTTCCCTGAATTTGGGTTTTCCTCTTTCCTTACATAAATACGTATTCAGATTGATATAGAATATTATTCAGCTTGGCGATCTCTGCCTGATCTTGCCCTTGAATTTTAAATGATTATTATATGATCTAAGTTGTTTTTAAGACAGAAAACGTAATAGATCAAGTGTTACATGAAGATTTATTTGTTACATTCTCGTAGCCAGTTAAGTTTTTGAAATATGGAAAGCATTTTTATGATTGCCGTTTAAAAGTAATATTTTTAATTAATTGTATTAGATAATCTAACTCTGCTTCAGATTTCTATATCATTGGAACTGCTTTCTGGAAAAATGAATGGAATTTAACCATATCATAATATTAATTTCAACTCTTGTCAAGGCACATCAATAATATGAAGCAGTTTTTCCAATTTTGAAGCACAAAGAGGAAGCAAAGTGAATGCTTTAGCTCTCTTAAGTACATGTCTGGCAATTAGCAGACACCATAACCCTTAAAATAGAGGAAACATTCTAAGATATCAAAAGTTAACCACTTCCATAATGCAATATTAAACCGGGAAAGCATTTATGAAATATTATATTGGATGTCAATTATAAAGAGCTTGTATTTCTTACGACTTATAAAAACATATTGCAAGTCAAAAGAGATTTGATGCACGCCTTTAAGAAGAATCACACACAAGTGAAACTAATACAGATTGTGAACTCACTTCATGCATAACAAATCTCTGAGTTTTCTGAATTGGTTCTAGACAAATACTTGTGATCAGATATATTATAAACAAATCTGTATAAATAACAAAACATTTTCAAAAACAAACTAGTAGAAAATAAAGTAACTAAACAATATAAGCAAACAATTGAATAGATCATAACCTAATCCTTTAACATCTAAGCAGAATGAGTTGTAATCCAGATTCCAAACCAAGTTGACAAGATCCAAAGTTTTCAATCATCATATTGAAAGTCTAAATATCCATCTTTTACTGCCAAAGTCACACAAAAATGCATCACGATCATCCTTTTTTTTTTGCACTGAATTCTTCTTATTTATTCATTTTTTTGGATCAGCAAGAGATCCATCTTCTTGATTTCAGTTTATGTGCACTATGGTTTTATCTAACTTAGATTAGGAACATGAGTAGAGTATGCATGTTTCTTTGTCATGGGGCTTCGGGACTGGCGGTAGATGTTAGAGTTTTTTTTATTTAAGATTGTGTAGTAGATAAGACCCTTCAAGAAAATTTATTTTAGCTCTTGCAGCCTTGATAACCATATAGCATCCATCATTTAAAAAATGTGATGCAGGCTTTATTCATAGTGAAAGTTTATGCACTCAACATTGCTTATTAGTTTTGAATTTTAAGATAAAGGAATAAAAAATAAAAAAATAAAGTAAAATATTATTCTAGGATTAGATGGAGGCTTTTAAAAAATATTAATACAAACATTTTTGAGAGTAAGATATTAGATATTAAGATTTTTCGTTGCATGAGGAAGCTAATATTATGTTGGAAAAAGTGCCTAGTGATATTAAGAATATTGCAAAGATGTGCTTGGTGTATCAAAGGAAAAAACACCTAATAGTAAAAATAGTTATGGTGAAATAAAAATGTGCAAAAAAATATTAAAAATAAGAATATTTGTTATAATAATTGTTGTAGATGTAAAAATTCTGATAATTGAAAAAGATATAAAGAGGCCCGTAAGTCTAAAAAAGCACTATGCGATGCAAAGATTTTAGCTTTTAATGATTTATATAATAGATTAGATATTAAGAAGGACAAAAGATATATGTATAAGTTAGTCAAATAAATAGACAAGTGTAGTAAGGATTTTGTTCAAGTGAAGTGTATTGAGGATGAAGATCAAAAAGTGTTTTTATTAAAAAAAGATATTCAACATAGGTGGATGAGATATTTTTCTAAACTTTTCAATGAAGATTATGAGAATGCGATTGACTTTAGTGGCCTTATGATGTAGTCAAAGGGGGGGTCAACACAAGTTGAGTTTTTTGTAATTTCTTGCCTGGTGTCTTTTCATCTTCCCCCTCTCCTTCTCTTCATTATCTTGTCTTTTCATCTTTCCCCTCTCCTTTTTGTCCTTTGAATGTTTGCTGGTTTCATGAGGGCATTGGCTGTTTCGGTTTGAGCTTAAGTAGTTGAAACATTAGTTGTGCAAGCTCATTAATATCTAGTAGAAGTGTAGCTCATTATGAGCTGATGTTTAGTTATAAAATTAATGTTGGGAGCAAGATTTGGTGGGTGGAACTTGATCTTTCACATTCTTCTTGAATTGGAGTTGCTGCAGCTTTTCTTCTCTGGATTTTTCTCTCACGGGCTGCTGCTCTCTTCGGGTTTGTTGCTGCCTCTTCGGGTGGCTGCCTACTTTACTGCTCTGGCACCTCTTTTTTGACCGAGAATTGATTTCCCTGAATTGCCTCCTGGTTTCCTGTGCTGAAACCGTGGCTTGTGCTTGTTCCTGGCTGGTTCCGTGGCTTTATTCATTGGATTTTTGATGTGTCTCTTGGGATTCAGCAGGGAAGTCTTTTGGCTTTTCTTGAGCTTTGTGTGGACCCTACCTGGTGAGAACCCTAGCCTACCTCCACTCCCAAATATCCCTATTTAACTGATGCAGAGAAATTGAAGCGATACTTAATGATGAAATCATCTCCACCAAAGACGATGAGCGGCAAAGGTATTTAGTTCAATGGAATGGAAAACTGGAGATGGAGAACATGTGGATTGATCGTGATGAGCTAACAAAGATTGGACCTCGATCTTTCTAGAGTTGTACAAGAAGTTCCCGAGAAACTTAACTCGACGGGATTGAGCTTTCTCTCACCGGGGAGAATGATGAGGACATCAGCAGGAGATTTCGGCGCGTCTATCATCGGAGAAATCGTAGGTCGACAGCTACGATTTAGAGTCTTTATTTATGATGCATTTATGAATTTTATTTATTTATGTTCTGGTTTATCATTGTCACCCCGAGAGGGATTAATTTATGTTGTAGCCCCGAGGCATTTGAGTATTTGTGTTTTCTTTTATTTAAGGCCTATATATGAGGGCCCTCACTATTGTATGAGATGATGATTATTGAATAAAAATTTCAGCACTTGTTTTTTTTCTCTATGGTGAGTTTGAGAGAAAAGAGAAGTCCCTAGGTGAGGGCAAAAGTAATACCCACAATCGCAGGAAAAGTCCGTTGTCCATGGTTCACTACCTCCATCAAATTTTCGTCCAATTCTAGCCACTGGCTTCAATCCCCAAAATCCCTTTTTGCCATTGGCTAAGACCCCCCTCCACCTCCTCCTAGCCGCCAGCCTCCAAACCACCTTTCTTCTCCAACCCGCCAGCCGAACCCCCTCCCAAACTCCTTCCCAGCTGCCGACCATAAACCTTAAACCTAATCCTCACCTAGCACCGGTCACATCCCTTTCTTCCTTGGCTCCACTATATCAACTCATAAATGCAAAGCCCTTCTTATTTTAGCCTTCTTATTTTGGGCAACAATCTTAATTCATATTCAAATATTTGAAATTTGAATTTGTTTCCTAAAATAAGAATCTTTATTTTAGGAAAGTCCTAGAATTATGCTTATTGAATTTAAATGGATTGGGATTAAATTAATCCTTCCTAAATTAAGTTC